AATAAAAACATACGGAGTTGGGAATAAAGTCTACAAGGTGATACACATAAACAAGTTACGTTTGAACTTAGAAGTCTTCAAAAGGAAAAACAAAACAAAAGAGAGAGAACAGAGGCATACATTGAGCCCACGGTAGTGATCGTAAACAGGAAATCGTGTAGAATTGCGTGCGGAAACGTTCAGAGAAATCTCTCTATCTGCCAAACATCCTTCATCGACTGTCTGAGTTGCCCCACCACCCTTATAATTAACTTGAATTTTACTGGCAACTTTTAAACCAAATTAGCGGTGTGGACATGGGTTCAGAAATGGGACACGTTGAAGCTTGCATTTTTACAGTGGACACATGGTGGAGCAGAAGGACATAGGGCACAGGTCCTAACGTCACATAGATGATGGTGTTGGCATTAAAGCCACGGAGAAACCTGACCTCGAGATTTTCATGGACTTTATCGGCTTTGGCTAACACGTGACTGTTAGAATTTAACATAATTTGAATTTAAAAAAGCTAACGAAGATGATGGTTACCTTATTACCTTTCCAGGCTGTTGCAGTGGTAAGGTGGGGGGGGGGGAGCTGAAAACTCCTGTGTCTGAGAGTGTGGGACAACATGGTTGTCGCATCTGAAAGTGTGGGACAATTCGGTTGTCGTATCTCTGAAAGGGTGGGACAACTGGGTAGTTGTGCATTTGGGTAACACGTGACTGTTAGAATTTAACATAATTTGAATTTAAAAAAGCTAACGGAGATGATGGTTACCTTATTACCTTTCCAGGCTGTTGGAGTGGTAAGGTGGGGGGGGGGGAGCTGAAAACTCCTGTGTCTGAGAGTGTGGGACAACATGGTTGTCGCATCTGAAAGTGTGGGACAATTCGGTTGTCGTATCTCTGAAAGGGTGGGACAACTTGGTAGTTGTGCCTCTGAAAGGGTGGGACAACTCGGTTGTCGTGCCTCTGAAAGGTTGGGGGCATTTCTGTTGTCTAGCCCCTGCCATCTGGTCAAAACTATCAAATGAGTTGATAAAGGTGAATTTTAAAATTGGCAGTAAAATCATGTTGTATTATTTCATTGTCTTTTAACTATCCAAAGATAAATATAATTATTTGTCTTTAATTAGCCAGTAACAGCTCTTATGTTATTGTAGTTTTTTACATTTTTTAAAATTTTGTTCTTTTAATCTTCTAAAACTCTTAAAATAGTTCATACATTCTAAATTGTTGGACAAAAAACACAGACAGTTCAATATTTTTTTGTTGTTGTTGGTTTCATAAAGGTGACAGTACCAAACCATATCCAGTTTCAAACTTTCAAAGAACTCATCAAAGAATATTTTCAAATGACTTTATTTTTATTCAGAAGATTTTGTATCAATAAACTATCCATTTTACGTTGATAAATGAACAGAAACCAAATGATATTTCTTTGGCTTAAAGCACAAAGGAGACCTTGATAAACATTTGCCGGTATACATTGTTGAGACGCAAAACAAAACAATAAAATAAAAATAAAAAAATTAAAAAATCCCATTGAGAGCTAAAAGTTTGTGTTTCCTTCAACTCAACATATTGTCCAAGAACTCCAAAAAAAAACCGCTTCCCGTTTACCTTGGACTCCAAGTACATATAGTTGTAAATGACACAAATTTAAAATAGGTTATACCAGAGAAGATTTTTATACAATAGGGTTTGTCATTTTAAGACTGGACAACGTCACATCGCATTACGTAAGGTTACTAATTTTTTTGTAAACAATGTTTTCACAAAACATGGCTTCTAACAATGCATTTCCAAATACACATAGCAGTAACAATTTGTTACGTAAAAATCTTTCGAAAAATAAAGTTGTAATCTCGTGTTTGTCCAGGTTAAGACCCACTTCGCTGGCTCACACTGACGTAGAATTACCGAACAGTTGTTGGACTGATGAGCCAAACGGATGTCCCGAGATGTTTTATTCATATCTCAGTGAGACGGCGCAGACGGTGAAGCCCGGTTGTTCTATTAATAGATTTCTACCGTTAAATGACAAACCCTTTTGAAGCATCCCGCCTCTCTGGCCATGAGGATCCAGGTTTTTTTGGTGTCTTTTTTAGGAATGCGAGATTCTCCGAAGACAGCTACAGTAACTTACAATACGATCAGATTTAGCGTTCTGTTGTTAATTAACTTTACAGAACCGTGCCTGTAACACATTTCTCTGATCCAGCATGAATTAAATATTTTAATATAAAATCATGGAGATCAAAGGTCACTCAGTGATGGAGCTCAAAGGTCACACAGTGATGGAGATCAAAGGTCACACAGCGATGGCGATCAGAGTTCATTCATTACACTGGTTTTGCTGAAGATTCCATCGCTAAAACTTTGCCTACGAAAATGACCACAAGTTTGAACACCTAACCTGGTCAAGCAGACTTAAGTGTTAGCGCAGAAGAAACAATAATAATGAGTGTCCAAAGTCTCAGCCAGGTAGATGTTTGAGGTCCAAAGTCTCTGCCAGGTAGTTGTTTGAAGTCCAAAGTCTTAGCCAGGTAGTTGTTTAAAGTCCAAAGTCTCTGCCAGGTAGTTGTTTGAAGTCCAAAGTCTCTTCCAGGTAGTTGTTTGAAGTCCAAAGTCTCAGTCAGGTAGATGTGAGAAGTCACAGACAGGTAGATGTTTGAAGTATTTGAGAAGATGACAGAAGATCTCGTTAAATTACACTCCTTTTACCGCACTAAATTCGAGAGAAGACAGGAAGACAAAGAACAAAGATCAGATTGTAATGAATTATAATATTAGCCATTAAATGTGCCTTGTAAGAAGGTAACAGTTCCAGGACAACGTTCGAAACGATGAGGAAGTCTGAAAATAACAATCTGCTGTACGCATAAAACCGTTATCATCTCCATTTCTACTCTTATCTAGATGTACATAACTAGAAGCAAAATACACTGCTAGCAAACCAAAAGAAATCAGAAGCAATGAAGACCTTGGAAGAACTGAAGGGAGACATTTCAAAATAGCACAGACAGTTAACACACACACACACACACAAATTAAACCTGAAAAAGGCCACGGAGTATGGTCAGACAGAGAAATGTTGAATCAGTTGCTGCCCCAATGCATTTAAGGCGTAGTATCACATTAGAATCTCTTTACCTTGGCACACAATATACGAAAATAAATAAATTATTGATTTAGGAGAGGCTTTCAAGCAATATTTTCACAAGCTTAACCTTCAATTCATTTACGGATAGCTTTGACTTTCATAAAACGCTACCTGACTTGTCCGGCGTCTGCTTTCAAACAACTATCGCCTTACAAGTAAGAAAACATATTTTTTTGCGTCGAGACGATAATAATAAATCCTACGGAGCTTCATCCCAGTATTCCTTGACGGCATGTTATGTCTCGGTCCAGTACACTCAAACCTTCGTAACACAATTATTGTCAGCTCGTATTTGAAGAGCCCAAGCTTCGCTGTTAAACATCGAATCCTACAAAATGTACAAGTGAAGACGCGCAGGCGCATTAAGACAGTTGGGCTGGTGACATCGGCAAGCAGATTTGGGTGAACTGTGTAAAAAGTGTAATTGTCCAGTGAACACCGTCCGTATGAATAGACACGTCTGTTGAACATTTCTGCATCCGGCCAAAAGAAGGAGAAAGCGGTTTCTCCACAATCGCTGATCAACATCTCCTTGTTGTGGCGACTTTAAAAAAAAAACAAAAAAAAAACAAGATCAACTCTCTGATTATTGCTTTAAAAAAACAACAAGAAAATCTATTTAAAATATTGTAATACAAAGTAATTTGGATCGCGTGGTGTGACCGAAAATGGAAGCCCACTTATTATTTATGCACAAACCAATTAGGGCTTGTTGGAAAATCCTGGGTCAAAAATGAAAAAAATCAGAGTTGAAAAGAAAAATAATTTGTCTATAATTTGTTAAAAAATAAATATAGAATGTTTGTTTAAAAATCATAAATTGAGTACAAACTTTATCCAACCCCATTGACATGGTTATCGATAATTTGATAAATAAATATATTTTCACGTCTGCGAGCCGTGATAAACATTCAAATTTCAACGCAGTCTTTACATCGGTGAAGCCGTGGAAATTTTGTGTGCAGTTAATCCGCCAGCCGTTCAACTAATTGCCGGGTGCAGACAGACACCTGGCTTAACTAACAAATGTGTCTTGTATGTGATTATCTTATCAGGTCATACGGAGACGGACCACCTTTCTTCTTGTGGCGTTGCCGTGTGCAATCACCACTCTGTCACAGTGGGGAAATTTGTCAATCGATTGACAAACTGTTGTCAAAAGTTGTTGTTTTTTGTTGCGATTCTCACTTAAATTATGACATCGTGTGACGGCTTGTTTCTTTATCGCGCTCTATCGCCGATTCTGATGTTAAGAAAAATAAATTAAAACTTGTTATTATTTCCTGTTCTTTTATTTTCCCCTCCATGATGTTTTGTGAAGTTTAAAGTCAATAACCCAATTCCCCCCCCCCCCCTTATTATTTTTCATTTGGGGGGGGTCCCGCTTTAAGGGAGTGGCGGCGGGGGGGGGTGGGGTGTTTTGTTTTTTTAAAAGGGGTGTTCTTCGTTGTGCTCTAATTCGAAAGTTTTTTTTTGTTAAATATATATTTTAAAGATTACAATACACTTGAAGAGAAAAAAAAAACACGGCTTTTTCCATTTAAGAAAAGCAGATATAATTAGGTGATCACTTTGAAGTGAAACGCTGCGTCAATGAGACATTCACTTTGAAGGCATTTTCAGGTACTACATCCTTCCCCAAAAAATGATGGATAGTTTCTATAAAAAAAAAATCTTAACTGTCCACCTAAGAAACGGCCATGCGAATTAATTCGACACATGCGAATGAGATAAATGTGGGGGACGCTATCGGCCCAAACGCATCTAGAGCTCTAAACATGGGCTCCGATGACGACGGCATCAGCGCTACCCTCGTCATGAGCCTGGACATCGTCTTCAACTGTTGCCTTATCCCCATCCTCAGCGTGCTCGGGATTGTGGGCAACACCGTCAACATGATCGTGCTGTGCCGGCACGGCTTCAAGGAGACCACCAACATCATTCTCGTGTCCCTGGCCCTCAACGATTTTTGCTATTCGGTACTGAACCCCATCTGCCGGTTGAAAAGAGTGATCGTGTACCTGGACCTGCCGCTGTCTGTGACGTTTACAACCTTCATTAACATCTACGTGTATCCGGTGGTGGACGTGTTCGTCGGCTTGAGTTTCCTCCACGTGACCGCCATCGCCGTCGAAAGATTTGTGGCGGTCTTCTTTCCATTCTACGTGTCTCGTGTCTTCACGCCTTATCGTGTCAAGGTCATGCTGACATTTTTATACGTGTACACGGCTGGATTCATAGCCCCGTTATTCTTCAACTCCACCTACGAATGGTTCTATGACACCGGCTACAATGTCACGGTGGCCCGTTTAATCAACACCCGATTCTATTTAGACAACTACGGTACTTTCAATCTGTACCTCGGCGTTCTCTTGAACAATCTATTCAGTACGTTCACGCTGGCCATAATTATCGTTTGCTCCGTCGCCATCATCGTCAAGTTAAAAATCATGAGCTTCTCGGACAAACAGAAAAACCCTGAAACATCTACGAAAACTAAATCGCCGAAGAATGTCAAGGTCGTCAAGATGCTGCTCGCGGTGTGCCTGGTCAATCTGGTCGCGTTCCTCCCCTCAGCCATCCTGGACGTCTACCGCAGGTATGTGATGATTGACTACTTCTCCGGTGAGATCAATGCCGTGATCGGAAACGTCAACGAGACGCTCTACCAGTTCAACGTCTCGGTCAATTTCATCATCTACGTCACGATGAGTTCGAAGTTCGCGAGCACCGTAAGACACGTGATTTGCTGCCACAGATTCAAAAACAATGTACAAAGCCTGCCATCAAGAACGGCTTTTTAAATTCTAGCAACAAAACCTCACACGGATATTTAGTTTCTCATTTCAGTTGTTCCTCAAACTTTATTGATAAAAAATACTTTAAAGTTAAAAGCAAAAAAGTCCGTGAAATTTTTAAAAATATTTCTTTGGAAAACTTGAAAAAACAATATTTGGAGATTAATTAATATCTTACATTAATTATACGGATAAGATGTGTTGGAAATTCTGGTATCATTTTTTATATGATTTACTACCGGTAAATTTTTTCTCTTTTAAAAATTTGCATTATTTATCATGGCAACTATTTTTTTTTAAAGTTTATTTTGCTGTGAATGCAACTTTCCCATGTTCAGTGTGAAATTTCTTGTCCTACATAGTGTTAAGACGTGCAAAGTTAATGCAGTGAACACAAAAATCTTGTACAAATCCTCCCGATGGTCTGCAACCTCTAGCTGACTTAGCCACTACAAACGAACACATTTTTTATTATAGGACTCATGGTGAATATATAATAATAAATGTTATATATTATATCATGAATGTTCTAAGGATTTGGGCTTGTTTTGGAGATGACGGGCAGGCTAAATGATATATTATTTGAATTCCGTGTACAGTTTAATCGCGACAACATGTCTCGTGACTGGAAGTGTTTCTAAAACGAGTTCAGGGGACATTTGGTCTCAGATTATAATTAAATAACTAGAAGTTTAATTATAATTTCGTATCTTTTTGAACACCATGTACGTCCAAGAGCCAGATAATTATCTTTATCTTTATTGCTTTTATCCACATATGTTTTTTAATTTTTTAAATCTACTTTTCTCTTCTACTTATTTAATTCCAATGTATTTTAATTAACTTTTTCCCCCTAATTTAAATTTTCTTGATTGACAATATTAAACAAAAAATGTTAATGGCTCTGCTTTAATTCTTGATAATTTATTTAAAAAAATGAATCTAAAATGCAAAGAAACTCAAACTCCATTTCTTCATAGATTAACTAGAAAAGTGTGTGCGTTTTTTTTAGTTTACATTGCTCAGTATAAAAAAAGTGATTGGAAAATCGGTCGAACATGAACCACGATTATGAAAACTAACTTTCACAGATATTACATTTCGAATTATCAGGATTTTTTTGTGTTCAAGGAAAGGTGATACATAAGCACACATAGTTTATCTCTCATTTCGATCACCCCCCCCCCCCAT